GCAGTGCTTGTTGCCAGGACGTAACGGAGAACGGTTCTGTTTGAATTCCTTATTTGTCCTCCTGTACTCGGTAGAATGGACATTCTGCCGTTTTGCCAAGACCCTACTAGCATACTTTGGGATTGAGAAACAGCCCAGATCCCTCTTCGGCCTTTTTAAAAGGAGACAAACTGACAACAGTCCAGTCGTCTGAGAATAAAATCTGTTTCAGTATAACCTTCCTTCCAACATGATTGAGACGTTAGACTGTTTTGTGATTATTTCACTGTAGAGTTCCTACAAACTGTACTTTTAAATATATTTTATGTTTCAAGATTTTAGATGCAAAAATAAATTTGAAATGTCCAAACTATTGCTTGTAAAAGTTTATACTTTATTTTATTTTATCCATAAAACATTTTTAAATGTTACAGATTAGAACGTTGACCTAATTGCTTATGGAAATAGATTTATCTCCAACTAATGAGGTTAGTTTTTAAAATACTTGTATAAAGTGGCGTGGATGTTACATGTATCACATGTTTAGTGCTTGAAAGGAATTTAGAAGTAACGTATTATTCAGTTCATGGATGAAAAGATTCAATTAGCTTTTTTTGGCCTCGAGCAGAATCGAGACATTCTTGTTTCTATTGAAACATATTTTTAATCAACACAATTAAAGATTTTAATTAGTGTTATTTGTTAAAGTTAGAGTACTAATACGTTTGAGCATCAGTAATGTATCTGTAACACAAGCCCGTCTTTAATGTGCTCTGACTAAATGTACAATCAACGGTGACTTCCGAGAAAAGCTAAATGCAAATCTTAACATTAGCATCCTCAGTCAGAGGAATATCTGAGTGTGGAATAACTTCATTATCTGGAAAGATAAAGGTAAATAAGATCAGCTTATTTGAATTTAACTTTTAGCCAGCTTTTGCATTTTTAGACATCCACATCCTCAGGTACAGAACAACAGTGACTGCAGTTCAATAAAAAAATCTATATTTTATGTGAGGAATAAACTGAATGTCTTCAGGGAAAATAGAGGAGAATAAAACAAATGCATACACGGTGTATGGAAGAAGCTTTTAGATTAAAACATAAATATATCAACGCCTAACCCTCATTGTAATTTCTCTGAGTGTTTGTCAATGCCAAGGAACCTTGTCTTGATGTCTTGGCCCCGCCCCGGTTGCCTAGGAGATACATCATCAGGAGCCGCCAAGACGTGTTCCAATGTTCATGTTCTACCGAGGTGTGTGTTCTCCATTTGTTAGCTGTTTAGCTAGCTGAGCTAGCCGTGGTCGAAAATTACCCAGAATACACCACACTATTTTCAAAAGGATGGCGGATCTGAAGCCGGCAGCTACTTTGGGGGCAAATTTCAAGTTTAAAAGTAAGTCAACAATTTTAAAATGTTTGTTTTAGATCCAAAGAAGTTATCTATTGTTGGTTAGCAGCTTAGTAGTTGCAGCTTCGGTGGCTAGCGGGTAGTAACTCATTTATATATTTAATCTAATAAACATATACACAATTTAAAAAGTAAAAGGCTCATTAAATATTTGTTTTGAAACTAATACACATAAAATATAACGTTATTTCCTGTTTCACGTGACGTTACGTGACCGCCGTGGAAGCTGCAGTCACGTAACGTCACGTGATGCAAGTCTGTTCCATTTAACCGTTTTCTTTGACCAAGGAAGGACAGTGTCCTCATAAGTAAGGCGCCTGGCCTCGCAAGACAGCGCCTCGCAAGGCAAGGCGCTTTGACATTGAGAAACACCCTATATAAACTTTCAGTTTGTAACACTAATAATCCATCTGTTCTCAATTTATACCAAAAGAAAAACTGAAAGAAAAAAAACATTTGAACATCCCAGCTACAAAAATTCCCTCTATTATTTCAATTAATAATTTATTTTTTTCAATATAACATTTTAAAAAATGCATAAATGTGTCCATTGTTTTGGAAACTTCCGTCAATTAGACATTTTCATTTACTTTAATGATTAATTCTTAAGATCACATTTTATATGTTTAAACCTGCTGGGAAAAATAAACTCCTTATCCAGTGTTTGAACTGTATTCCTTTAAAAATGTTTAATCAGTCCTCGGTAATAGAACACAGACATTTACTAAGAAGGATTCAGCATGACATGTTGTGTTATGATGAGAAAGGAGAGCCAAAAGGCAGAAGTCTCTAGCAGTTGGGTGATAAATAAAACAGAACTTTAGTTGACATCAGACTAGCCTTGGCAATAGACACTTCTGGCTAGCCTAGGACCTTCTAAAAATCTGAACCAAACATAGAAATGATGCAAGCCTAGACCAATAGATGGTGAAACATCTGTTTGTTAGGACAAGAGGCTAACAAAACCTTAAACCTGCTATGTGGCAAGAACAAAAGCACAAAACTATCAAAGAAGTTCCTGAATTACATCAGGAAGATGGCCTCTCATGTTGAAGTACTGTCTCAGGAAGAAGAATCCAAAAGCAGCAAACAAAAGGAACGTCATGGAAGGGCAGGGTCCCACACAGCATGTACCAACATTAAGGAAGTGGTTGACTGAAAGAAATCCTACCTGTGGAAGGAGAGGCCTGGACAAAAGAACATTACACATGCGCTGATCATGGCAACAAAAGGTTCAAGGTCATCTTTATTCTGCCTAGAGGACAACTATTGGTACAGCCAATAGCAAGCACAACAATAGATGAATTGTTCAAGTTTGTTTAAGTTGTAATTAAGGTGGACTACTTATACTACCAGATGGAAGCACCTTAAACTCTTTGGCCAAGGAGTGGCTGGGGTATGGACTGGAAGTCAAAGTGGAAGGCTCCACCAAGGGTGTTGGAGAACGACGGCAGGAAGATACTATGGGGCTTCCAAGAGAAATGGCTATCAGCAAATTAACTGGATACTGTGGTGGTTGTAAAAACTACAGGAAGCTGTGGTGATAGATGTAGTGTTCTCAAATGACAGTAGCGTGAAGAGGAAGGCAAACAAGAAGACAAACACAAAGGGCTTTAAAAAAAGCAAAGAATTGTGGAAAGTCAAGGCTGCTGAAATGCCTGTGGTCATCAAAGCACTTGGCCTGGGGGAGTGGCCCCAAAATATTTAAGGTACAACTGTGGAAATCTTTGTCCAAAAGAGAGCAGGTCTGAAAAATACCAAGAAACAATTGTAAACCCTAATGTGTAATAATGGTGCAAAGCAAGTCTGGTGGTTGGTGCATTTTACTGCTGATGGACCAACAGCGTCACTAAAGCTTTGGGCCATTTGGAAGAAATTAGCAAGATCAGCAAACCACAGGTTAACATTTTGATCTTCTTGGAACTTCTGAAATTTTGTAATGTTTGTACACACAGTCATGGAACAAGGTTTATCCAATGGTCTTAACTCCTAATATGTTTAAGTCTGATTTTAATAGACTACTCTGCTATATTCCAGTCTTGTTCATGCTTACCCAAAAACATTAACGTGTGATTATAACATTACCATGAAATGGAGTTCCATTAGAAGTCTAATAAAAGAAAAGCCCTGGATATGCGACATCTTTGATGGGATATTCTCCTACTTAAAGTCTGAGTTGAACTCTTCCATCCTGCTGTTTCACTGCTGCTCCCTGGAGCTGGCTTTGAAATCACATGTAAGTGTGAGGTAAAGTGCGAATTACATCCCACATGGCCCCGTGCAGATTCTCCTCGCTGTGCACTGTGGCCACCGCTATCTGTTCCTATTCATAAGCACCTGTGTGAGGGCAGTTATTTTACAATTTCCTTTCTGTTTGATCTGCCTTCAACTCTCCTCTGTGGGACTGTTGCTCAAGAGATAAGGAGGTTTTGAGGGACTTAGAAGAAATGGGGCTGGGGAAAAGGGAAATGAGAGAAGAAAAGAGGCATGAGAAGTGTGGAAGCATGGAGATGGGTAAAAAGTACCTTGTTTGTGGTCAAGGCACAGCTAAAAGTCAGGAACACCCTTTGAGATGACACATAAATACCCAATCAATGTAATTTAAAGCAAACGTTTGAAGTGGGCTTTCATGGAAAAATACATTAAATCTAATAAAATAAAAAAAGGTTGTCTTCCCATTTACTTCAGGTGATATTTGTCAAAATTGGCTTTAATGTAACACAAAATAGTTTTTAAACTTAAAGCTACAGCTTTAAAATTGATCTCCGTGATTGTTGGAATAGAAACTTGACCAGTTTCTTATTTGACACCGCTTTTCAGCCCTCTGCTAACCAGATACTGCACTGTACAGTTTTGTGGAGTGAGTAGATGTTCGAGGGGGCACTCTCATACATGCGTTACTTCTGTTAGATATTTACTGTGCAGTTAGCTTTTTCAACTTGCTGATTGTCAATGAAAAGCTCAAGAAGAAGAAGTAGTTTTCTTTTCGGTTGGAATCATGGTGGAGCCTGGAAGTAAAAGTGAGAGAGTACTGTCTTTAGAGGTAAAGCAAAGAGCTAAAACCAGAGTGAACATCGCCATGACCTACAATAGCTTGAGGGAGCTAAAGGAGGCTTCAAAATCACTGATGGTCACGTGACTTTGTTGCAACTAAACTTGTAAGTACTAATATTTTTAGATTTTTGTCTTCTTTATTTGTGGATTATTTAGTAAGACTTAGCTTAGTGTTAGCTCATTCTTAACACTAGCTACAGCAGGCTGCTGCAGTGTTGTTTATGCTAGTTGTAATTCCACTTTCCACAATGTAGGGTTTAGGAAATTGAGTGCTTTAAGAGCTCAGTGTATATGTATGTATATATATATATATATATATATATATATATATATATATGTATATATATATATATGTATATATATATATGTATATATATATATATATATATATATATATATATATATATATATATATATATATATATATATATATATATATATATATATATATAACCTCTACTTATGATCAATAAGCTGTGATACTCTTATCTAAATATTGAATATCAACCTTGCTTGGTCTTTACGGTGTTTAATCAGACGATTCTAGGATTCTTGCTTTATCAGGGGATTGTACACACTTCGTTTTGATTCAGAAAAGAGTCAGGTTTATAAAAGTAAGAATTTATTTTACCAACAATTAAAACATGACAAGTTAACTAACATTTACTGTGAGTGGATGGAACTAGATGTGATGTATGAAACCTATGTGTGAATGAGATGTTAGTCAGAACTTCTGTATCTGTGAAAGCCGAGTTCTGGATGTAAAAGAATTTGATTTGCATTAAGCTATGAAGTTGATTATTATCAAAAGCACATCGGACGCTATCTGTGTGTCTACTTCACCCGTTTTCGGAGACCCTCTTGGTGGATCCGAAGGTCAGAGAGGTCGGATGACCTCTGGCACCGAAGGGCTGTAGAATACCGTGGCACCGACTCTTCAGTCCAGAGATGTCTCGGGTCACGACAGACGGATGGAACCGCGCATCTGGGACTCTTTAAGGAGTCTAAACAATATCAGCTTGTTCTGCAGGAACTGTTCGCTGTATCCAAGGGCGTCAGTTTGTTTTCAGAATTGCTGGGGACAATAACCATACACTTGAGTGGGGTTTAAAAATTGCTGGGGACAATAAAGTAGGCTAGCACAGGGGTCGGCACCCCGCGGCTCTGGAGCCGCATGCGGCTCCTCCATCCATCTGATGCGGCTCTCTGTGCTTTTAAAATAATGAATGGATATTTAAATAAAATGCTTTATATTTTACTGCATTAATTTTACATCTGTATGCCAATTCTAAATGTAAAGATTGTCTGCGTAAACCTGAACAGGTCCAACCCAGTCTTACTGTGAGACCGGGTTGACGCGTCACGCTTGTGCGTAATCATATGCGCTTCTGAGCTGCTTTCTGACCTTCCCCACCTACAAAGTTTAATTACAACAATCAAACGTGACAGAGCCCGGATTTGTATTCTGAACAGTCTAAACATGTTTTAAAAAGAATCGCGTGACAAAAGTGGCACCTGCTCAGTAAAACCACCAACAGGGTGAAAAATATCAAAATATTGTCGGCAGAGAGGGGCTACAACTTCTGGATCCACTTTATATAAATCGTTTTATTGATTATCTTCTTACGAAAGATAACTTTGACGTACACGAGCGACCAGGCGCGTTGCAAACTTTTCAAAAGTGTGGGGGATATTGTCTGTGCCTAAAATAAGTTCATGCTATTCATCTTGTTAGTTTAATTTCCATAATAGCGGAGCAGGTGCGAATTTTAGACGCGTCACACATGTCTCCGTTTTAAACATGTTTAAACTGTTCAGAATCCAAATCCAGGCTCTGTCTCATTAGATTGGTATAACTAAAGTTTGTACTGAATGAAACTTTACATTAAACCATGTTGAAAAGAAAAGGATCCGATTAAATCGTTTCCCCCTCATTTACAGTCAGTACAGTGCAGTACGCGTGGCTCTGGGGTTAATCAAGTTTAGTTGTTTCTCTTTGCAACAATCTTCACAGGAAGGCAAAACAGTTAAATGACAGGTTACAGATATTTCCATTTGACTGTTTATTTTGACGGATAAACTCAAGGATGTTCGTTGATTTCCTCCCACTGAAGCGGTCTGGAAACCCGGTCTCTCTGAGGGATGTGTCACTTGGAAAAATGTTATTTTTATGAAATTATGAAAGTTTGGCTGAACAGCGCTTGTTCCCGTCTCCAATATGGAGACGCATGACGCATCCAGTCGCCTCTTCAGCTCAGAAAGCACCCGTAGAGACATTTGATCACGCACAAAGTTTATGTGGAGCAGAAGCGGTCGGGCCACGGCAGGTGAAACGTTCCTAGCCTGCATGAAGTGAAACTGTTTAATTGTAACATTAATATGTTACTGGACACGCTGGTCTGGTTGGTTAGACCAGTGTTTGAAGTGGAACACACACACACACACACACACACACACACACACACACACACACACACACACACACACACACACCAGGTAAAATAATGCTGATAGCATGGACTAGAAGCCAGGTGATGGTTTATGTATTTAAATGATGATCAGGCTGCTGTAAAATGTAATCTCCATCCACATCCAGACAGAATTATCCTCTATTCTTTCTCTAGTTGCTCTGCTCTTGTCTGGGCTGACGTAGCTGACGGTGCGCGCGGCACACCTAACTAGCGGCTGATGCACATTTTACGCATTTGGAGAGGTGGGCTGGATGCTTTGCGTTTACTGGAAGATGGTCCACTTAACGCACGGGTGTAGACTACATATTAATGACAAATGAATGAAAATTAAATTGGGAGTTTTTACTTCATATTTTATAAATAAAAATGACGGGGGAACACATTTATGACGTCTTTTTAAACTAAATTTTCTAGCGCGACCTGCCTGCTTCACTAAGTCACTGCTTATTAAGGTCCGTCCAAAATTACTGTGGCCCACCCAAAAATGAAAACCTGGCGCCGCGCCTATTATAATCCTCTGCAAATGGTTGTTCTTCACGTTATCAAACTCAGACTTTGTACAGCTAATGTCAAGATGTAAAATTATTCAGTCGAGCTCTTCCGTCCCTCCATCTCCTGCTCTCCTGGAAACCCGACATCGGCTGTCAGAAGCGGAGGTGAAGAAGGAGATGAGGCAAACAGAGTGAGTGTGACGTAAAGAAACCAGACTGGTGTGGAGGCGAGCAAAATAGCTGGAAAAGTGTGGGTGTTGAATCCCCCACGGATGCGACGCCCATGGTACCGGCTGCTGTCACCCGTTGTGAGCAGCGCTCTGCTGTCTGAGGGTAGGCCCCGCCCACAACGATGCGACTGCTGCGGTGTTTTCTTTACTGTGGGAAACGGGTAATAATGGCTCTTTGATGGGAACAGGTTGCCGACCCCTGGTAAAAGATCTGAGCTGGTAAAACAAAAATCCTCATCAGCAGGCTTTTTTGAAAGTGGGGGGGACACAGCTGCCAATTACAAATTTTGCCGGGGACATGTCCCCGGTGTCCCCGGTAAAATGACGCCTATGGCTGTATCAGCTTCGCAGGTGCAAAATGATTTTGATGACGTGTCAAAAGCTTTGATGGTTAAAGAGGTCTGAAGCTTTCTCTAGAACTGATGAATCACCAGAATGATACAGTTTTAATGTTCTCATGTTATGATTTGTGTAGCCAACCAGAGGTTGACAAGTTGAGGAACATTATCAAGACAACTCAGAAACACGCCTTCTTTGATCCGGAGGCTCTGATCTGGGGTAAAGGACTATTTATCTGTCATGAGTTTAACTTAACCTTACTTTGTTCTTGTGTGAGTGCAAGTGGTGATGACCTTGTCATATAAACATGCTGAAACATATTTCAATCACTGTAATCATAACATAACATTCATTTCAAACTTCAGTCATTAAGCACAGATAATGAAACATTTCATTATATTATAATTATTATAAGTAGCAATAAACAAACATTTATTTAATGATTATCTAGCTTATAAGTTGTAGAAGTTCATATTTAATTTAAGAAATCATTCTTTGATTTAGTAACCGATCCGTGCTGCGAGTGTTCCTTATTTGGAGGCATGAAGAATCCTGTAGGACGATAAGGGAAGCTTGAACCTTGAGGAGAGAACATTATTGTTGACAATTCATCATCATGTGTTCAGAGCTGCAGAGAGGCTCTGAGCTCCAGCTGATGGGATGAAGGCAGGCTGATTTAAAGTCTTGTGTCTCCATTGTGACCAGATGATGAATGGTCAAACTGTACCTAAAACTGACCTTTGTTGGACATTACAACCAGTAGGGCAGAGGAGCAGGAAACTGCTCTGCGTTAATTTAAAATAAATTTTAGTTTTCACCCACCTCACAGGATAACAGGTAATTACAGATTAAAAATATGTTAGTGTGTTTATCATAACATCGTTAATACATTTATATTTCCATGTACACGTTCATGGCACTCTTAGTCCGATCTGACAAAGTAAGCTTTATCTCAAAGGGAGTCTAAATCCAATGAAAAAAAAGGAAGAAAAGAATGATTGTATTGATTTTTAAGTTATTTAATTATTTGTGCTGTTATGTAGAAAGCAGTGACTGTCAGGAGAGCATTTGCATCCCCAGCTCTGTAAATGAACATTTGAGAAGGGACTTAATGGGACATGATAGATGAGCTGTCCCACCTGCAGTGTTTTTTAAGAAAAGAAATGATAAATGACCCGCACTTGTATAGCGCCTCTCAGAGTAAGGACTCCAAAGCGCTTTACACTACAGTGTATCATTCATCCATTCACACACTCATTCACACACTGGTGGGGATGAGCTACGATGTAGCCACAGCTGCCCTGGGGCGCACTGACAGAGGCGAGGCTGCCGAGCACAGGCCCCACCGGTCCCTCTGACCACCACCAGCAGACAAGGTGGGTTAAGTGTCTTGCCCAAGGACACAACAGCAGAAATCTTTGTCCGGAGCCGGGATTGAACCTGCAACCTTCCAATTACTGGACAACCCACTCAGCTTGAGCTACTGCTGCCCCTGTGGCTCCTGTGTGCAATCATGACATCACCGTGCTTCAGTCACTCATTAATCTGCACAAGAAAATTCCTGTGACACCTTCAAAAGCATCTGTGATGCAGGTGTGTGCTTGCTTCCTGTCTGCTTTCAATGAAAAAGAGCTTTGCATTTGGTCATTGGTCATAACAGACATGCCTGTCTGTGGATGGGGTGAAGGAGGATGTGAGTTTATTTTGTGAGGGTAGAGGATGCATAAGCTGGAACTAAATGAAGACAGATGATTCATTCATTTATTTAAAACACCTTACTGCCACCAGTCAAGGCTGCCTGAAGTGCAGTACATGATACAATCATAGATTATACACGCTGAATGATTTGCTGTGGCAACCCTTGAAGGAAAAAGCCGAATGGATAAACGTTTATGCACCTGCACATTTACAGAAAAACATTATGTATTTTGTTATGAGCATGTTTGGCTAACAGCAACACAAAAGCATACATGCCAATACTGAGTTTTTATGTAGAAGATAATGAAAGTTCTCTGCCAGGATTTAAGCAGTAATCTGGTGTTATTTTTTTTAGAAATCCATAAAAGTTATAGTCTTACCTTGAACTGTGATATAATTTATGCAATACGCCAAGTTCTTGCAGTTCGTGCAGCTTCACCCTGTTTGGTTCTGACCCAGGACTCTACCAGCTGACTGCTTCCTAAGGATCTGAGAGCGCTGCTGAGTGTATGTACAGGAAAGAGATCTGACATGTATTCTGTCCCCATGTCTTTGAGTGATTTATAAACTAGTAGAAGTACTTTGAAATTGATTCTGTAGTTTACTGGTAACCAGTGTAGAGATTTAAGAACAGGAGTGATGTGCTCGGTTCTCTTGGTTCTTGTTAAGACTCTAGCAGCAGCATTCAGGATAAGCTGCAGCTGCTTCACAGCTTTTATGGGAAGACCAGTCACAAGACCATTGCAATATTCCAGCCTGCAATTGACTTTGATTTTATCTGAATGTGGACTGGACCTAATTCCATTTTTGGTTCTTTTTTAAAACACAGAAAAGGTTTCTTTTTACTTTGCTTGCTGACAGTTTCGTTCGCGGCTGCAAACTTCCTCAGAGCTGACGCTGATGGTGACGTCACTTCCTACTCCGTTTATCCGCGGGCAGCAGATACGAATGAAACTGTCAGCAAGCAAGGTACAAAGAAACATTTTCTGTGTTTTAAAAAAGAACCAAAAATGGAATTAGAAATCAGACACAGCAAGAACGTACCAAAGATGTGGACTAGACCTGTCAGAAGTAATCTGTTATTTCTCTACACTGTGGTTGTTCAAAGAGCTATCTGCAGGAGACTTTAATTTGTTTAGAACATTTACACAGAAATCCATTTTAAAAGATCTGAACCATAGCTTTGATCTATGTTGTTGTATGGGAAACATGACTTAAAGAAGTAAATGCATTCATGTTTTGCTTCAAATTTTACTTTTAAAAAATACACCACCTTAAATCCTTGACTGTGTTTGGCCATGTGATGTTATTCCACTCAACGTACACAAATAACATATAAGATGAAGAATCTGGGTTGACTTAAAGACCCGAGTCATAGTGGTGGTAATATGTTTTTTTTTTTTGGAGTTATTCTCAGTTATCCTTTGTTGAAACATACCCTCTTCTCATTTGTTAACTTCTAGACAGATTTCCCTTTATTTGTATTAAGGGATGCATCTTTTGCCAATTTGCCCTGTCGTCCTCCACTAGCACATTCTTCTCCATTGTCCATATTAGTATTCAGACCCTTAATTCAGGACTGGTTTGGAGCCCCTTTGGCAGCAATTACAGATTCTCCTCTTCTCAGGGACGTCTCTACAGGCTTTGCACATCTGGATTTGCAGCATTTCATCCCAATCTTCCCAGCAGATCCTGCCAAACGCTGTCAGAATGGAGGGAGAAAAAACAAAAATCTGTTAACTGCCAACCTGAGGTACGGTATGTTCACAGAGGTTTTGACTGAGCTGCTCAAGGACAGACATTGAATGACCCGAGGCCGTTGCGCTTTAGTTGGCTTTATGCTTTGGGTATTTGCTTTGTGTGAATCTAAACCTTATCCTACTTAACTCTGATGAGCCAACCTTTACCTTGGAGGTCTGCACAAATGGCTAAAGGTCTTTCTCGTCAGAAGAGAGAATCGTTTTTCTCATCCTCTCAGGGTATTTTAAATGCTATTAAGCAGAATCTGTTTCCTTTCTTCATGCTGACATAAGCCTTACAGTTGAGTTTGTGCTGTGTCGACGATCTTTAGGACTTCTGAAGCCATGTTAGGGTAAACGATGGGTCCCAGCTCACCTCTTCTTTTGCTTGATTACTCGTTTTGGCTGAATGAGCAACTCTACGTTGAAAATAGGCCACTGGGGCACCTGAGAAGCTCAGATTTAGAAAAGCTGCCATAAATAGATCTGGCTCTTCTGGTAAGGTGGTTAGAGGTCTTGTTATTTCTTGGGTTTGGTTTGAAAGAATAATGACTTACTTAGAGTGAGGACATGTTTGTATGTTGTTATTTTGTTACTGGCACATTGTCTTGAACAGCTTGATAAATGAGATGACATTAAAAACAGCTTCAAATCTTACTCTAAAATCTGTCCTTTGGTTTTCTTTGCAAAAATAGAGATCTATTCAACAAAACATCACACGCCATGCCTGAGACACCTTGTTCTTATCTCTATATGACTTTTGAACAGAACGAGACATCAGGGGGGCTGAAGACTGACCTTTGAGCTGCCATCCAAGGTAGTGACTGTGCTGCAAGCCGGCCTCACTGTCTCATGGTGTGATAGAATGACAGCCAGCCATGGGATTTAGAATAGGACTCCACATCAACACCATTGATTTACACTCCCTGCCTGCTTTGGTCCAGCAATGGCAGTTTCAGCGATGAAAGCTCAAGTCTACGTGAGACGCTGCTGGATTGATTGGTGATTTACAGTCAGAGGCAACTTAAAGAGAGGATCTCTCTAGTAGCTCATTAGGGGCAGTGTCAATGGCAAATTGGCAAAACAAGCAAACTTACAACAGTTTTTCATGCCTCTAAACAACATTCTAACATATTATAGCAATAAATCTATTGTGGAGATAGAAAATGAAACCAAAAAAATAATAAAGTGGTCCTCTCGCGTTTGTCTTAAAACTTCAGCCAATAACTTGTATTGTCCAAAAGCAACAACTGGACCATCCGGTTGTTGGTCTCGCAGAGCCATCACATTTCCCTGGGTCCTCCAGTCATTACACACTCGTGTATTTAGTCAGAGGTTCTCCGCTGACCGTGCTTGTGTTCAACAGCTAGTCTGTTTGCAGATTTGCTGTTGCAGCTAAAAGAACAAGAATCAGGGCCAAACAGATCATAGGGTGAGCATTTACCCTACAATAGTCTAATGAGCTTGAAAGAAAAGTGTCTGGACTTTTTTGAGTTGCTTGAAGACGTCCAGACGCTTTTCTTTCAAGCTCAATAGACTACAATGACCTGGATGACTGAGAACCTTCACAGACATACTTACCCTACAATAATTTCCCAGTAGTTAAGAAGCACTTTAGATGTTTTAGTTACCTGGAAGTATAGAGGCCCATTTGGGCTCTACATTAAATAATAAAACATAAATGGACAAAGCCCTCCGGCCCTCATCTGCATTTATTTAATCAATTTTTTTGTTGTTTTGACTACATTATCAGAGAGCTTGCCTAAAGCCTGCAAACAAAACAATTCCAATGAAGAAAATCACTTTGAGAAGAACGGCTGTGTCCACATCCAGGGGTACCACCTTCCAAGTTCACATTTTAGGGTGGTTACATTAGAGCAAAGCAAAAAAGCTGTTAAAATATAAAAGATACTGAAAATTTGTTCTCCTTTTCCATGAATTCCATGACAGGTATTGCATATCCCCACTGGTACAGGCTATCCCAGGACAGGGTATAATGCCAGATGAAGCATGAGAGAATATAAATGTTAGTATAGTAATATCTGGTGGAAAAAATAAATGCATACATAGATGCTTTGCAATATTTTCATATTTTTTAATGATTTTATTGAGCCAGTATGTGGTAACATGACCCTTTACAGCAGGGGTGCCCAATCCTGGTCTTGGAAGGCAGGTATCCAGCTCGTTTTAGTGGTTTCTCTGCTCCACCATATTTGATTCAGTGGTTGAATCACCTGTTCAGCAGCTCATCAGGCTCATCAGAAGCTTGTTAATCACCTGCTAATTGAAATCAGGTGTGTTGAAGCCGGGTTAAAACCAAAATGTGCTGGATACCGGCCCTCCAGGATTGGGCATCCCTGCTTTACAAGCTGAAAGGCCACCCAGCCCCAATTGCCCCCTATGGCCAGGATATCTTATTTGCAACTTCACATTTGCTGGCCCACTCTGTTGGAAAATTGAGCTGACACACCAGGCTGCAGTCAGGTTCCAGCATGTTTCCTGCATGTTTTATATCATGAACACAGCTGATTGTTTAATTTAGTGATGAATCAACCCTCTAGACACTAAGGAAGGCTGGGAGACATTTCAGCTGTTAGATTAAGGTGTTAAAAAGATGAACACACAGTGAGGAGATAGGTCACTAGGGGGTGCCAAAAGCAAGCCAAAACTGCTTAGTCTCCCTTTAAAAGTGGTCGTGTTGTGTCTGTGAAAGGGGGTTGTACCCTCTCAGAGATGGATGGATTTACAGTGATGCAGACAGCCAGAAAATTGGTGGACTTAAAAAAAGTCCTGGTACGCTGATTACCAACACACTTAAAGCACTGGTTACGGGTTTCTGAAGGTTCTCAAACTGGTATTGAGGTCGAAGTTGCAGAGAAACCTGTAAGTATATACAGTATTTTAAATCAAAGCAAATATTTTTTACAAACACAAATATTAGAGGGTCTGGTTTCCAAATGTGTTAGAACTTTTTTCTTGTAGTCTTTTTCAATCTTGGTTCAGCATATTTTAACTCTTTAGCTCCTATCTTTTTTTCCATCTTGTCCGGTCATTTAATTTTAGCTCCTACTTGTGCAAAGCCTTCATTTCGTTTTTCTCTTAATTTTCTTATTGCCTTCATCCCACCGTTCCTTAACATTAATATTTTTTTCTGTGGAAATCACTCAGTGATAAATGTTGCTTGTGTAAGGAAAATGAGAGGTTCTTAAATTTTATTTAATGAGCCGGAAGGCGTGAGATTCCATAGCAAATATAAAATCCACCTTAGTGATCGAGGGTTATTTAAACCAGAAGATTGGATCTTTTTAATGCAGAGATTATGTAACCGTTACGTATTCACTCAGAGACGACAGAATAGAGGGAGCCAAGTTTAAAAGTTAAGAATTTTATTACTAACAAATTAAACTAGGCTGACTTCAAAACTAAATGTATAGTGTAACTAAAAATGGATGATGCGGTGAATGGATGACATGTCATGTAAATCAGATCCAGCAAATCCAAAGAAGTGATTAGTTCTGACGGGAACTGAAGATGTTGTTTTGAATTAAGCTTTGGTTAGTTTCAGAAACAGCATGAGACCCCATCATGTTGTGTCTACCTTTGCCTTCGGTGGAAGTCCTCTGTCGATCAGGAAAATCGAGGTCCAGTGAACCCTCTCTGGAAACTGAGCTGGTAGAAGAAGCCGCGGTTCCAATCAAACCCGTCTCGAGTTACTTCCGGCACACGACACTTTACTGGCGTCTGGTCAGACCCAAGCCTAGGTCGGTGGAGCTTTTATTCTGAAAGGAGCTGTTGTTGCCGCTTGTTGTTATGGCGACTGGATTTTCAGCTTGTCGTGGTTCTTTCGGTTAAAGAGTACAAGGTCAGGATTGGCCACTCCGACGCTTGCTCTGGAACGCATTGAACTGGCGTTAGAGCTGATGTGGCATCGTTTTATACCTCAGATGTTATGGTTTATTGTCAAATGAAAATTACCAACCACCGTGAGAAGCACGCCTCCGTCAGATCTGTAAGATTCTTATTGGATCAGTTAAAACAATGTGTTATGTCTTTTTAACACTACGTGAAATGAGTCCTGTTGGAATCCTTAAAGTCACAGACTTATCATTTCTAAGATCATAACAAAGTCATTAATATTTTTATTTCACAGTCGGTCACATCTTATTATTGACTAACACTTTGATGGATTAGCTTTATTAAAATAGAGCTCTTTGATTAATTAAAAGAAAAAAGTTAATTCTTCGTTCTTCTGTCTTCATTGCTGGAACGTAAACAGTTTAGAAGTGAATGCATGACCTTGAGGCTGTTTCATGCACACTGACACTGTGTCAAAAGGAAACAGTTGTTAGAGGTTAGAAATGGCTCCTTCATCACGTTACACTTGTGACTGTACTTGCTCTACAGTCTTCCTCTGTTTGTAGAATCTCTGTTCGTACTGAGGACTGTTCTACTCGTTTTGTTAGAGCTTCATCCTCTCCCGGTTTTCTTCTTTTCCTTTCATCTAACTGTAAATCCAAATTTGATTCTCTTGTTCATCCTGTTGTTTTTAACTTCACTTTGTGTTTTCTTCTTCGATGTCTACATGCCTCTAGTCCTCCCCTTCATTCGTGTTTTTCTAATCCCTATTGTTCTTCATCCCTCCTTTGCTTCTCTCCTTCCTCCCCCCGGCTTACGTTCTGTCAAAACTCATCCCCCACAGTGATTTAACTCCACCAAAGAGTTCCCACATCCTCCTTGCTTTGACGAAGACACCCTTGCATCACTTTCTTCCAATTTCCATTGGTCCTCTTTTTCTCCTTTCATCCACATCACTATCCTTCTCTTCTTATTTCTTCATCACTGCCTTTTTCATGCATCCTCTTCTTTCTTCTGCTTTTCTGTTACGCACGCACACACACACACACACACACACACACACACACACACACACACACACACACACACACACACACACACACACACACACACACACACACACACAGTCTCTGGGTAGTCCTCCTTTGAAGGTGATGTGCAGAAGGGGATTTGTCTGTTCCACTAGTGTCTGACAGTTTGACACACACGTACACACTCCAGCTACCATGTATGCTTCCGAGCCCACTTTACCTGCTGAAATTCTGTTTAGCTTGTCATTTTATCAACGTCACCACTCCTCCACCTTCTCCCTTGAACTTCCCAAACACTCTGCGTCTCACACTCATTAAAGAGCCTAAAGCCTAGTTTACACTTCTCCGTCTGTGTCGGGACGGAGACATGTAAAACCATTATGCGTTGAAGCAAGAGCTCTCCGACAGATTTGCAGAAGAAGTTGGAGACATGCCCCAGTTTTTAACAATCCGTCAAAAGAGACGGAGAACCGCAAACTTGTGATTGGTCAGGATGCTGCTTCCTGTAAATTTGTCAATGTCCTTGCCTCTTCAAAAAGTATAGAGGTATTTAGCGGCAGACACAGAGCATATTGAAGAATACACTGTGGAAAAGTCTGGAAATATGAATGTTTACTCACCTGTGGCTGAAGGAGTACAAAGATGTGCAGCAAGTGTTTTAATAGTGGACGGAAACGATGAGAAACATGAGTTTAGAGGTGCCGATCGCATGTAGAGGTGGAGGGGAACAAGGGACAAATCTGTCAGTGTTCAAAAGCATTAAAACAATGTAAACACAATAGTAGATACACTATCGTGGACCGGATAGGTGGCTGTAATAGTGGCAGGATACTTCTGAATGGCGCTATGCCCTCTGTTGTACTGGCGGGGATTTGTGTTGCAACAATCCCCAGCTGACAGGGAAGTCTGAAAGCAAACCACCTCTGTCAACCCATGTGCGTCTCTCCCTCGAGGAGCTGATGGAGAAGTATAAATTAGGCTTTAATGTGCAATAAAGGGCGCTAAACCTGCGAGGTTAGAAATCCCCACCTCCCACTGAGAGCCTGCCAGACTGTACTCGGGGTAGCATCTTTCCCTCTAAACTGTGTTGATAAAACTCCTCTAGCTCAGGAGAGGCTATTAATCAAAGATAATTAACCTTTGATGATGTCACCAGCACACACTGATGCACAGATAAATTTACTGGGACCATCTCAGCATGAAGTGCTGTGCAATTAGCTTTTGCATTGATTTCTTTGTCATAGCTGAGATTTTTTGTAATAAGAATAGGGGTATTGGGGGAAAGACCTGATTTTATTAAAGATGTCAGGAAGAACCAGTCAGAATGTGAAGAACTGCTGAACAAGTGGTTTCACTGTGTAGAAATTCTTCATGTACAGCTGAAATGCCGAGTCCCTGTGATCGGCAAGCTGCAGGTGGCGAGTAATGGACTAAAGTCTAGAGTTATACATCTAGAATTTCTGCCAAGGGAGACGAGACAGACTGATGAGAACCACCAAGTGATTAACCAGTTGCATCTCCTTTAAGAAAGAAAGACAGAAAGAAAGAAAGAAAGAAAGAAAGAAAGAAAGAAAGAAAGAAAGAAAGAAAACAATAGCGCCTCTCAAGATAAAAAGCATGAGGCTTTACACTAAAACAAAAAATTTTAAATATAAAAAATAATTTGTTTTCATTATTTAAAAAATACATTTTAAATGACAAAAATTTTAATTGAGTTTACAAATGTAAGGAAGGGGAGGGAAAAATGAATAGCAAAGAGGGAAATTGGTGGATCCTGGGAAAGGTGGAATAGGTAGGAGCAGAATAAGGAGAGAGAGGTGATGAAGGTCACACCAAAACCAGCCTGAACAGGTGAGTTTCTGCTGCTTTTTAAAGGACTCCACTGAGCCCATTGATCTAAGGCTCAAGGGGAGAAAGTTCCAGTGTCTGGGGACCACAGCAGGAGATGATCTGACACCTTATTATGTGAAGTGCCTTGAGATGATTCTTGTCGTGATTTGCCGCTATATAAATAAACTTGAATTGAATTGAACCTTTGGTCTTTATGTATTCCATCCATCCATCCTTTTTAAACCCCTTATCCAGAATCGGGTCATGGGGCCAACAGCCTAATGGTTGGTTTATGCTTGACGGGTCCGCAAGGTCCGCACGGCTCCGCGCGGAAAAGTTGCGTCATTTTGCGACATTTTAACAACCACGCCCCTCCACCGCGTCTCCGCATGGCTCAAAATTTCCGCAACGCGCACCTTGGAAATTTTCTAACCACGTGGATGGTCGGACACAGAAAAACATGGTGGACCGGCAAGAACTGGTATGGCAGAGGTTCGTAAATACAGACATTTGTATGATTCAGCTCTCAGAGATCACCGTGATCAACATCTTATTAATAATTCTTGGAGAGAAATAGCTCGCACTGTCGGAAAAGACGAGGACGCTGTTAAAAATGCTGGAATGCCATGTTGTAATCAGTAATTTCTACTTCTACTATGGTGTAGTGTTGCATGCATGCCGTAGAGCTCCATGCTGCCCCGTTCAGTTTGGGAGAATATTGGCTCACCGCAGAGACAAGCCGCACGTACCATAAACGCTGCAAGTTGTGAAGCGCGTTCCATCCGCGAGCCGCATCACCGCGTGGAAAGTGAATGCGTCAAGCATAAACCAAGCTTAAGTTGAGAGGCCCAGACCACACCTGTTTGGAATCACTCACTCATCATCTTACCTGCAGATCCTTATAGGGATGTGGGAAGCTGGAGTACACCAGTAGTCACTGGGTGAGAGATGGGGGGGGGGCACCCGGGACAAGTCTCAAATACCCGAATCAAGTTTCCTTTTCTCTGCTTCCTTTCTATACTGATAAAAAATACTCATCTGATCTGACTCAGACATCCCTGCACATTTTGCCATCATACTTAATAAATTGCTCATTTGGGATTATTTTTATTGCTTTTCCTGCCAAGCTGCACAACCATAGAGCAAAATAATTTCATGAAACCGTAAAATGCTTGGGGAAAAAGGTCTTTGTGTTCTGGCAACCATTCCTGGATGGGTTACATTTTAATAAGGCTTACAATCTTAACATAAGGCTATGGGTTTGTTTTAACTGAAGCGCTGGATTAAAGGGTTTAGCTATCTAGCCTTACTTTGTCTTGTCTTAAACATCTAACAAACAGCTGGAAATCTTATGAAATGTTCCGTTTCCCTCCGCAGAACTGAGTGCGTGAGGCGAGCAAAGCCCCAATGACTAAAAATCCCAGAAGTCAAATCCCTGCTACTTTTGTCCCTCAGACAGAGCAAAGCAAATGCTCACGGTGTTTCTGGATGAGCTTAAGAAGATTTCAGCTTTTGCTTCAGATCTTTGGCAGTCTGCTACACAGCTCTCTGCCTCTGCTCTGTCATGTGTGGAGACAATCGGGAAGTGTTCCAGCCACTGCCTGAGCTCTCTTAGCAGGAAGTACAAACACAAGACAAATATTCATTGTCTTGTGTCTTTGGCTGTTTGACTTGATTGAATGCTGTGTGAAATTTACACCATGAAAGCACTGACTTATGATTTTTTACCAGTACATACTGTGATGCTGATTGGTGTTGATCCATGGGACAGAGTGGTGTCTTGTTCCAGACATTCACATCCTGGCAAGCTTTGCTGTCGTGGATTCCAAACGTTTATGGGAAGCATCCAAACTAGGTTACATTCCACTTCCAAAAATAGAATCAAACTAGTCAGAGAGCATCCCGTTTTTAGAAAGGGATCTTATTCAGAAAACAGCAACTGACCTGCACTTGTATAGTGCTGTTGTAATTCAGAGGACTCCAAAGTACTTCAGACTACATTCAGTCAGTCACTCACTGATGGTGATGAGTTGTCTCATGGCCACAGCTGCCCTGGGGCACACTGGCAGGAGTGAGGCTGCCACACAAGAGACACCACCGGTTCACTCCAATCCACCAGCAGCAGTCACCACCAACTATCTACCCAGATGGAGTCTGTGTTCAAACCGACAACCCTTGAAGCAAACTTGCATTCGTTGGTTATCTTATTAAAACATTTATACATCTACAGAATGGTGATAAAATGTACATGCAATGAAAAATATCTTTTAAAGCAGAATAGATGGAAGACTAAATGAATACGAGGACACCATCAATTCCCACAAGTGCTATTTTGTTTATAGTGTGCCTGAGTGCTTGGCTAGAAAAATGAATATTTGAACAGTCGGGTGAGAAATACACAAATCAGCGGGAAAACCTGAAAAAAAAAATCTGAAGTGTTCACATCCAGTATCAACTCCTCAGTATGGGAAACAGCATCTGGGAGGCTTAAAACCCTCTAGAAGATTCTACATCATCACCACCACCTGGGCTTGGGCAGTGTCTGAATTTTAACTCATTCACTGCCAGCCGTTTCCTGATCGGAAAGCCCCTGGCTGCCAGCGTTTTTGAGCGTTTTTACTGTTTTTTTTTTTGAAGAGTCACAGAACGTTGCACTCTACGATCTCGTAAACGCCAAAACTTCCAAAAGAAACAGGAGACTCACTTCTTACATCGGGAAGAATCAGCATGCTTCTAGCGTTATCTGTTCTTTCTAAATCCGTTAACGAAATGTGAGATGCAGAAGCTTTGCCGGTTCACGCCTCATTTTTTTCAAACAGCGTCCCAAAATGATCTCCTAATTCATAGATTTTCTGCTTCCTGATCACGTGACGTGTGACATACGCAGATGAAGATCAACTTAGAGACGTGATGTTAATTCTCACGGTGCGGGGACTTGTTCCGGCGCCCGCCCTGTAAAAATATATGTAATTGACTTTAGTCATCTATCGCGATGAATGAGTTAATACCGTCCAGCTTCCTCCACACTCTAGCATGGTGTACGGTATTACTGGGACTAATAACAAAATAAAAAAGTAAGCCTCAAGTGGAAATACCAAACTGTTGGGTTGGACCTTTGCCGTTCAGAAACTGAATAACAAACACAATAACTAAAACAACAACAGCTAACACACATAATATTAGCAACTATTAAAAACACATCTTACAAAAAAGATTTTTCACCTGCAAACCCAGCATGCTCACTTTTTCCAGCTTCAACAGAGAACGTTGTGGAAGCTCATTTCCACCAAAACCTTGTGTTAGTAACAGGCTCCAAACAAGGCTGTTATTTTAGCTCTGACCCGCTCCTCTCCTGTGATGACGGACCTGCATCTTTTGTTTGCAATAAAGACCTCATCAGTGTTTACTGGCTCTCCTTTTAAGTTTGCGTCGAACCCAAAATACTCCCAAACCGCAGAAGTTATTTTCTTTTAGACGCCAAGTCAGCTGGTGTGGGAGCTGCCATTCTTCTCTCGGTGCGTCTCCCACGGTCATGTAATGACATCACGCTCTTCAACTTTATGAAAAATCACTAAAATTTGGACAAAACTTTTAAAACAATTGAATTAAAACTGAAAATTCAACCATGCATCCGTTTTATACATTGAATTGCATTTGTTTATCTTTTTTTACTTTTTATTTTAAAAAATCCTTTAAAGTTTTTAAAAGGTAGGTGGATCATTGAAGGATAGCGTTGGTCATCGGGGTTTAAGGCTTGGAAAAAGCTGGAGTGCTGCTGTAGTTATCAAAAGTTAAATGAATAAATATTACAATTATAGTTAGAAAGATGTCTTCAAACCAAAACATAATGAAAACATTTCATCTGCTTTTTTTTACAGACAAATAGAAAAACAAACAATACCGCAAAGGCAATAAAAAAAGTCATTCAATTCACTTTTCAGCTGCAAATCAAAGTGTCATGTTTTTCATCCTTTGGATTCACAAAAAGGAACCAAGGGCAATCAGAGAGGGAGAGAGAATATCACATATGGCAATAAAAGAGGACAACTCTGAGGTACGCCAAGGGCAATAAATCAAAGACACAATAAATAACAGAAATTAAGAGGAAATTGAAACAGATGAAACCAAACATCACCCAAGGTCTTTTCAAAGTAACATCTGTTTGACTGCGAGTGAATCAGACCCTCCAAAGTAAAACGTCACTGCAGTTTCCTGAAGTGGGTGATTTATCCAAAAGGTGGAATGAATATAAGCTGCTGTATTTGTAGTCTTGTGTAGGCAGTGGTTAATATTATAAGCAGGCTCTGACACAAGTGAGTTCTTTGTTTTAATATGCTCGCATCATGATGTAATAGCCCACACAGTTATCTGACATCTGCTGTTAACTTGCAGATTCTCATTTTACATTGAAAACATTTGATTTGTTTAGGCTGAAATGTATAAAATTAATAGTAACATTAATTAGATTTGGAATAAAGACTTTAAAGATAGGCTATGATTAGAGTTACTGTATGTTTCCTTATTATTTAGCTCGTAAAGGGACATTGCCGATAACCTGGTATGTGTTTCTCTGGAAAGGGTGTAAAGAATTAGTATGTTTCCTGAAGCGTTTGGAGTAATAGATTAGTTCTGACAGGATCAGCATGCTAAGGGCTAGCATGATGGAGCTAAAACAATGTGGATTTCATTTCAGCTGAAATAGTGTCTGCAATAGTTAGAGCAGGCATAAGGCACCAAGTGGCCAGTGAGGCACCAACCACTCTGGATTATTAAAAAAAAAATCTTTGGTGAGACTGTGAGATGTATTTCCCCTGCTCGAACACCCGCTGTCAACAACTGTGTCTTATGCAATCAAATCCTTATGTTTGGTGGTGTAACGTCCAGCAATGGTCAGTTTAGGTACTGTTTGACCATTCAACATCTGGTCAAAAAGGAAACACGAGACTGCACGTACTTCCTTTAAATCAGCATGCCTTCCTCACACCAGCTGGAGTCAGAGCCTGCAGTTCTGACAGAGATAATGAAATCATAACAATAACATTCTCTCCTACCAAGGTCCCTTCACAGAGCAACTCTTTTATATAACTCCTTGCTTCAAAGAAGAGCAGAAGAAAAGAAGATTTTTAAAATTAAATATGAACTTCTGAAATTTACAAGAGATAATCATTAAATAAACATTTGTTTATTGCTACTTATAATAATTATAAAACAATGAAATGTTTCATTAATCTGTGCTCAGTGATTGTTTAGCATGTTTACTTGATGAGGTCATCACCATTTGCACTTACACAAGGACAAAGTTAAACGCATGACACAATTAACCTTTCACCCAGATCAGAGCCTCCGGATCAAAGTAGACGTGTTTCTGAGATTCTTGTTGACATCCAAACTTGTCAACTTTTGGTTGGCTGCCCATTCATAACATCATGACATTAAAACTGGATCACTCTCTGGTTTTTCTTCAGTTCAAGAGTTCTAGAGAAAAGCTTCAGACCGGCCATCTGTAGCAAAACCTCACCTGTGAAGCTGATACAACAAGAAAGTTCCTGCAGAACAGGCTTATATTGTTTAGACTCCTTAAGAGCACCAGTTGCTCAGTTTCATCCAACTGTCATGCCTGCAGATGACCCTGGACTGACCTGGTTGTACTGGAAGTTAGTCTACGGACTTCGGTACCAGGGTCTTCGACCCCCACCCCCGACATCTCGGATCCAAAAGGGCGTCTCCACTTGGGTACGTAGAACACAGTGAGATTGCGTTTGGATGTGGTGTTTTGATAAGAATTAACTTCATAGCTTAACGCAAACCAAATTCTTTTACGTCCAGAAATCAGCTCTCTGAGATATGTAAGTTCTGACTACATTATATTCACACATAGGTTGCAGACACCACATTTAGTTCCATCTACTCACAGTAAATAATAGTTTAACCAATTTGTCAAGTTTTAATTGTTTGTAAAATAAATTCTTACTTTTATAAGCCTGACTGTTTCCTGAATCAAAACGAAGTGTGTACAATCCCCTAATGAATAAAGAATCCTAGAATTTTCTGATTAAACATCCTAAGACCAAGCAGGTTGATGTTCAAAAAGGTCTAAAGAAATCACCTTAACAACATTTTTGCATTTTATCAAATCAGAAAATTACATTTGTGTTGAATGCGAAAACATGTGAAGTGATGATTTTAGCCTTTGTGCTTAAAAGTTTGGACACTGCGATGTAGAATTTCATGGTATCGTTTAATACATTTACGTAAAACTATGTAACGATTAATTTTGCATAGAGATACTGTGGGAGCAGAACACAGCTAGCTTGTCAGACTCCAGCGATTGCTAAAATTGAGCTAGTTGTCTTAAGCGAGCAACAATTCAATTCAAGTTTATTTATATAGCGCCAAATCACAACAAGATTGTCTCAATGCACTTCACACAGTCAGCATTTCAATACAGACCAGTTCATTAAGCCAATCAGTAAAAGTTTCCTTAATTAGAAACCCAGCAGGTTGCATCGAGTCACTGACTAGTGTCAGAGTCTTTACAGCAATCCTCATACTAAGCAAGCACGCAGCGACATTGGAGAGGAAAACTCCCCTTTAACAGGAAGAAACCTCCAGAGGCTCATTATAAGCAGCCATCCACCACGACTCACTGGGGATGGAGAAGACAGAGGGTGGCGTTCTATCGCCTACTAATTACAGTTTTTTTCGATTGTTAAAACGCGTTTTTCAAAAATGTACGTTTCTTTCAAAACTGCACACACAAAACCCCAAACATGACACACAAATTCCTAAACCGTGGCTTCCCTTTGCATCAAAACCTTGCCACCACATATCGTAACATGTTCCCAAAATGGAACACGTGTTTTAATTGGGTAAACACAGCCACATTTTCACATGACACACACATACCATTCATTGCCTAAACACAAGTTCATAAATAAGGCTACAAAGCATTTGTTCTGAGTATCATTTTGTTTATAACTGTTATATATATATATATATATATATATATATATATATATATATATATATATATATATATATATATATATATATCTTTTGAACAGGTCTGATTTGGGACGCTGTAGCAGCAAGACTCCGCCTCCCTGAGTTTCGGTTTCAATTCAGCTTTAAAAAGGAGATTATAAACTACACCCCAGTTTTAAAATTTTGTTAATAGGCAACGTAAAAGGGGAGTTATACTAAACTAAAAAACGACCTATTTTTAGACAATCTGTAACTTGTCAAAACAGTAGTTTAGTAATCTGTGAGAGGGAATGTGCTTGTGAACATGAAAAAATCCCACAACAACATGAGATCCTTTTGCTGTTGGTGGAAGTCTCACATATTCAATTGATAAAAAGTATCATTATGTAGCTGAGAGAGAGAGAGGAAGGCCGCACGAGTAACGAGATGTGCGCAAAAAAGGAGCCGCTTCGTGGGGAAAGGAGTGGCGGGAACGGAGTAACAGCAAACAATTAGACAGATATTAACGGTAAACTTCATATTTTGGAGCGATCCGGATAGATATATTGTCTCTGCATTTTAGTAGGCTTTTATTAGGCTTAAATGATGATGAGAAGGATAAATGTCCACCAGGCAGTTCAGATAGTACGGCTGTTTTTTGAACTGGAAGCAGAGGAAGTGGACGGAGACTCACAGCTGGAGTCTGAGGAAAATGTTGATGACGATGTGGCAGATCCATCCTTCCTCACAGAAGAGTTGGGTCATGATGAGGTAGAGGATGAAGGCAGAGATGCAGCTCCTCGGAGATCCAACAAGAGGAGTGGGCGGCGCCGCGCAGCTGTCAGATCTCGGCGTGAGACAGAGCCACTCCCCACTCCAAAATGCATGTTCATTATTGCCAAATTAATAAAATAAGTATAAATTCAGATAGTCCAGGTTGTCCTGAAAAAAATGATACCCCATAAGGCAATATTTATTGTTTTTATTAAAAAATACAAAAGAAAAACCAAAATGAGTCAAAAACGGTTATTTACACCCTGGACCCCAAAGGGCTAATAATTAAAAAAAATATTTTTTCATATTTTTTTATAAATGTACAGTCTAGATTACCATTCTAAAAAAAAAAAAAAACATTTGTCATAAATGTCTGTTGGTTTCACAGTAAAATAAACAACTTTTTTCCTATTTGGATTTTATGTTTTTGAGTGATTTAAGGTCTAATATGCAACCCCTTTATGTCCAAATAAAAAAAAATAAGTGTATGAAACACTGATTGAAACCAAGGGTGTGTGTTTTACTGAGTAACATATAAAATATCATTCCTTTTATTGAATATGAGACCCCGCCAGTCAAACCATAAACTTCCATACACCTGAAACATTCTCATAACTTCTTGTCTGTGATTAATAATTTCTAATTTTCCTTTACATTTATGGATAATTTTGGTCATGATGTTTCAACTTTACTCTGAATGTAATATTTTATCTTTTTTTCTCAACATCTTGACTTTAAGAGCGCCACCACCTCCCTATTTTTCCAGTGACACTAATTTTCCATCATATCTGCCAGCCAAACACCGGCCACAAGATAATAAAAACTTTGTGAGCCATAACCCAGAAGGATTTCTTCCACTCATGTGAGTGTGAACGTTGGCTCTAACAGTGGAATTTCCTTGGCAGTTTATGAAACAAAGTATACAGTAATAGTTTATTTTTTTAATTCAGACATTCCACTTATTGAAAATACATTTCTTTAAAACAATACCGTATTTGGCAGCAGATAAGTAAAGTACCTCCCAGTTCAGTCCTGAGGGTAACTTTGGCAGTAAGGGAGCACAAGTGAAAAGATGTATTGATTTAAAATTGGCACATGCTTGCCTTCTCTCATAATCTTTATCTACTTTCTCAGGTATTGATTTTTTGTCTCCAGTCTCCAGCTTCTTTCCCATTCATCCTTCCATGGGCCTTCTTTTCTGTTGCTGTTACATTCATCCATGAGCCTATCCATTTGTTGTCCCGGCCATGCCGGTCCATAACTCCCACAGTCTGTGAGGGAATGAGACGCAGGGTGTCAAAAGCCGACTGGCTGAATCTTTCTTTTCATTGCCGTCACTCTGGGATCATCTACTTTTGCTCGCTTGCAGGCACAGACAACTCAGGAGAAGGATGAGGAAGAGGAGATAAGAAATTGATCTGATCTTTGTCAGCTTCTTTTTCTTTTCTAAAGGCGTATTATTTATTTATTTATTTATTTTGGTAGAAAATGAATTTCTTTGACCTTTTTTGTGACACCAGTTTTACTGTTTATCTGCTGTGGTCCAATAATTATTGGCTGATTAAAATTTACTTTAAAGCAGAGGTCTAGAGTTTCTTCTCAGAGGAGACCATCGAGAGGTTGAAAGATGTATTGCACCTTAAGATCTTCTCCCCAGTTAGGTGATTACGGCTGGACTCAACACCTCTTGCTTGTGAAGGTGCACCTCTAGTTGTCCAATAGAGCTAATACATATTGTTTTACAATTATTATTCCCCTGTCACTCTATCTCATTACTTAAGTATAATATTTATATTAATGTGTATATATATTTTCTTCAAATATGTATTCATAAGAAGAAAATATTTTGTCCATAAGAAAAGCCGCCAACTCTTCATTTGTCCAGGTAATTCATTGTATGCTTACTCTGTGATTGGAGTCTGTACGTAAGTGGATGTCCAACGCTATTGACTAATGCTAAACAGCCCTTAATTCTAATTGGATGGGGCTCTGCATGATTTGGGGGGGGGGGGGGGGGGGGCGTGGCAATAACAGGCATATTGCATTATTTCACAGTACAGGGTAAAGGTTGGTTTATGCTTGACGCGTCCGCGAGGTCCGCACGGCTTCGCGCGGCAAAATTGCGTCGTTTTAACAACCACGCCCCTCCACCGCGCCTCGGCACGGCCCAAAATTTCCGCAACGCGCACCTAGGAAAATTTCTAACCACGCGGACGGTCGGATGCGGAAAATCATGGCGGACTGGCAAGAACTAGTATGGCAGAGGTTCGTAAATACGGACATTTGTATGATTCAGCTCTCAGAGATCACCGTGATCAACATGTTGTTAATAATTCTTGGAGAGAAATAGCTTGCAATGTTGGAAAAGACGAGGACGCTGTTAAAAAATGCTGGAATGCCATGTTGTCAGCAACAGTAATTTCTACTTCTACTATGGTGTAGTGTTGGATGCATGTCGTAGAGCTCCATGCTGCCCCGTTCAGTTTGGGAGAATGTTGGCTCACCGTAGAGACAAGCCGCATGAACCATAAATGCTGCGAGTTGTGAAGCGCGTTCCATCCGCACATCACCAAGCGGAAAGTGAATGCGTCAAGCGTAAACCAAGCTTAAGACTATCAATTCTACGGATTTCTAAAAAATACTACATTATTTTAGCCTGACAAGCAATCTTGTATGTCTGGCCATGACCCATGGACAGAGCTCGGTCGTTGGGCAGATCCACGGTGGTCTTGCAAACTCTCTCCACATGCTATTGGACAACAATGTGATTTACTCTCCGCCACAGATGTCCATCAATGGAGCAGTCCACCATACACCATTGAAGGATACATAAATAGCCTACGTACATCCTTCTATCCGTCTGTCCATCCGTCCATCCATCCATTCATCCATTCACTATCGTCCGCATACCCGGGGACAGGTCACAGGGGAAGGGAGGCCCAGATTTCCCTCTCCCCAGGCACTTGGGCCAGCTTCTTCCAGGGATTCCCAAGGCA